GGGCTGCTGGCGCGGCGGAGCGGCGCCCCGGCTCCTCCGGCTGGAGTAGCCCCGCGTCTCGTTTCCAGCTGGGCAAGAGCTTGAACAGAGGGCCACAGGTCACAGCATAGAAAGGTTTAATCAAGTATAGTATTTACACTCCTTACATAATGTACATGTGATTGACTACAAAGATAATATATATTTTTCTCCTCATTTACAATAACAAACTACAGAAAACTACATTCAAGTTTTAGATACAAAGTCTACAGACTTACTAAATGCAAACTAGGTCCGGTTACACGTTCTTGACAGTTAACACCCTTAAGGGAGAAAAAAGTTGACAAGAGAAGATAAGCATTGACGGAGGGAATGTTTCAAGAGACACCACGAAGGGCCGGACAGGTGGGAGAAGTTAAAAAAAAAAAAAAGTTCATTAGTCAAACAGATAGAAATCACTGAGAAATCATTGTTTCCTCAATCAAAACATGGGAAATTTGGGGACCTTAAACAGAAAAGGGAGCAAGCTTTTTCCTCCTCTATCATCTCCTTCCATGGGAAGAGAAACAAGTAAATACTGTATGTAGAGAGATAAAGCAAGCATGAGAAAGGGGATATACCAGAGTGGTACATTTATCCTTTTCCCCAGTATTACCCTTCTGGAGCTGTCTGCCCCGATTTAAAAATGTGCATTTTTGCAAGCATACAGACAGCAAGAGGTTCAGGACATCAGGCTACCAAACAAGTAGTATAAACCAAAGCGCTGTTTAATTTAGGAAAAAGTATCCCTCTGTGTGAATGGACAGAGATGGTAGTTTTCAAAACTGACTTTCAAAATATTCAGTACATTAAAAAATTAGCTCAGTCACTTTTAGGAGCGTAAAAATATTACTCCCTTGGTACTTGAAGTGTTTACATGGTTATTTTGAATTCTATCAATTGGTCCTTTTATATTTACTGTGAGGTTTTTGTTTTTGTTTTTTTTAATTAAAATGCAGAGTTAACAGGCACACTTTGAAACAGGATTTTGGTGCTTCTCTGCAGCCATCTGAAACAGCCAATCCTCTGCTTACCCTAATTTCTCACTTTTTTCATTACTACTGCAAAGTTTTTGCTCTATTAAAGCATTTTAATAATTTGGACAACATGCTGTGCACTGACACCATAACATAAAACAGGAGAAACTTCCTTTTATAAGGGGGGGGGGAGGTTGCTGACAGCAAAATCTGATTCCTTTTCTAAAACTATTTCAGCTCTTTACATAAACGCCTTAAATATAGAACCGTATGGAGTGAAAAATGCAGTATTAATACAGGATCCTTTAACACACCGACATTATAAGCTGTTAAGGGGTACAATCCAAAGCCTCCGAAAACAGTGGAAAGGCTGCCACTGATTTCAGTGAGTTGCGGGTTTTCGTCCAAATTGGTAAGAGAGTCGGTAAGGAGGCCAAGGTCTACAACACACGAATGAACCACCGAAACACGTTCAAACTGCACTATGTGCAGCTTGTGAAAGCAAAACAAGATTTCTACCAACTACCATGTCACCCAAACTGGGAATGGGAACAAATTTCTGTATGTCAAATATATAGTTCAGTGGCATTATTCAGTAAGATAATTCAGGAATACTGAGATTTATGAGCACAGTACCGATATAAAAAAGGAAACCGTTCCATAAAATAAGGAAACCTAATCAAACAATCAAAGCAGTACAGACCACTGTAATGAGACAGCACAGCTACCACCTTAATCATCATGCAACATAAGTAAATTATACCTCTGAAATCAAGATGTGTTAGAATATATGTTGAGCTCTTACACATTTGTCTTTCCAAGAGACTTTTGGAACATGTGATCTAACCCTGACTAGGAGGGATATAATAAAATCCTTTTGTGGCTTATATAGTAAGTTACTGAAAATCCCTGTGAATGCTCATTACTTTAAGTTCTGTTAAGAATATGCTGCTTTGTACCCCACTGATTATGACCTATTATATTTCATACCTACAGAGAAACCCGAACGGGAACTGAAGCTTCCCATTATCTGGGACATGGTGCAACACGTTGTTAACACGCAGCAGAGCCTTACTACCTAGAACGCAAGTTATATTCCGTTTCATACTGCAATAAAAACAGAAGTTCCTAATACTACTCAGCAGAACACTAGCACGTGATTCAGAACTTGACAGGCAAATCCCAGTCAGCAGAGCGCTGGGCTTGGACATACTCTGGATTACTGAGGGCTGAATCCTGCAAAGTACAGAGGCCTTGGAGCACTGAGCCTGCCAGCGTCCCATAGCAGGAAACCCTCAATACATTTCACACAACTTAATGGCATATTCATTTTTGCTGATGAGTAACATCATAACACCTGTATCGCACGTGATCTGAAAAGTGCTTTAACCGGATGCATTTTATACCGGATATCTCTGCATACCTAAAAGCATCAGGGAAGGAGGCTACAGGCTCAAAGTGCGTTCCTCACCCTCCCACGCCGAATCATTGCAACTCCAAAGTTCCTGAAAAGAGTAATACAACCTGCAGATCAAGCGTTAGTGATTTAACGTAAACAGATCGATACTGCTTCCCACACATGCAAGAGCTGGGAATGCAACGGATGATCTGCAGAGCTACAGTGGAGACATTTTTAACCTACAGGAAGTCCTGCAAAATTTTTCAAGAAGATCCAAGTGGCTAGGACAGAAAAAACTGCCAGTGGTCTCTGACATGAAGGTCAGAAATAAATGTCTCAGATGTTTTCCCACCAGGCTGGAGTGAGAAAATGATTATGCCATTAAGCTTTACATTACAGCCAATCACATTGTTTGTTGCCTGTCACATAGGTTGCAAGAGACATGAATCTTTAGAAAACACTATATATCTAAGGTGTATATCATACATAGCCATATCTTACACTGTCCCATCTGTACACTGGGAGTTTTGTTTTCTAAGATCTACTAACTAAAGAGCTACTTCTGTTAAGTACTACGGATCAGGAACTATTCTACCATTTCATAGACATCTATTTAAAAAACAGCTTATTAGACATCACTGCTTACAGATGAGATTAAGTTTCTTATTATTCAGAACAAATGCACTTTTTAAATGGGCAGAAACTGCTTTTCTTAGCATAATTAGACCATATACAAAGCAAAAACTGTTTTGTTAGATTCTTCTACTTGGAAAAAGAACTCATCAAAACACTTCTAAAACGCTATTAACTCAGCATCTAGAATCTTCCATATTTGATGCGTTATTATAGATTGGCTGCAAAATGATAAATATTTAAAATACCTTGTTAAAAGTTACCATGCCAGAAAGTTTAATTTTACCGTAATTTACAGAAATTCTTTACCCATTTTTGCTTAGTCAGCTTGGGGAAGAAAGCTAACTAATTTCTCAAAAACGCTTAAACAGCAGGCTAGCATACCGCCATGGTTAATAAGATTATAAGGAAATTCACACTGATTTTACGTTACCTAAAAATTCTCCTTAAATTGTCAAAACAAATTGCATCTGCTGGTTTGTAGCTTGAGGAGAGTATCATCTAGATATTAAGTATTCTCATACATGAACACACGTATCTACAGACACTCTTTATGCACGCACATCTGCGGAGTGGAGCTCACTGAAAAACCTTGGGTTGCTGCCCTCAGAATACCACTGGGGACTATGCTCATTTGTTACTTTGCAAAAAGTTATAGAGTGAAACTCCTAGGTTTTCTTCTGCACACCTTACTTGAGAAAACATGTATGTATATATAGCTTTGCAGATTATATTACAGCATGCTGTGATATAAAGGACTGGCCTAAATTTAAGATGGCTGCATTAGACAAGTGCTTTTATATATAGCTGGCTTTAAGCTAATATTGAGAACAGCAAAGGGAAAAGGTGACAAACAGCCTTCACACGACAATTCTACACTAAACCTCCTTTGGCTCAATATTGCTTTTATGTCTCAAGTTTCAAATGTTAATGTAAAGATACTTGGGGGGTGGGGGAGAGAAAAAAAAAAACCCACATTATAGCCAGCAGGATCAAATTTATTTTTTTCATGAAAGGCTCCACATGCTCATCTAAAAGAAAACTTCCTTCACAGCATGAAATTAAAAAAGGAAAATAAACTGCTCTTCAAAATTTGGTCCTTCCAGATAAATACCTATTGTGACTGACCCGCAGTCACCAGCACAAAGGCCAGCCTGGTGTTAAAGGTTCCACTAAAAAATGCTTGCAAAAGAGCTTAAGTTACTTGTCTTGTTATTAACAGCCTACCTCTAACCATAATCAGTGTATGAACAACAGGATCTTACAAGTAATGGGCTCACAAACTGCAGGATGATTCAGTAAGTTACTGTCCAATTTCCCTTTCAAACAGACTGAGAAAAAGCAAGCTGGACCACCTTGCCAGAGGCATGTTCTTGATGGTAACAGGGAGACTGCTGATGGTAGGGGATGCTCGTTAGCAAAGCTGCTCTGATCATCCTGTCATCCAGGGCCTGCAACCCATACAGTTACACTCTGCTGACTTCATGTATGAGCCACAGACCAACTTGCTAGCAGGCACTGCTTTTCTTAAGCATTTTCTTCAACTGCTGAGGTATATGTACTGTATGTAGAACAACAACCCTTATACATTTCCCCAGCTACCACAGTCTAAAGCTACATTAGAGTGGTCAATTCATCCAAACTATTAAATATCTATCAAAATGCATATAAGTCATTCTGTTAAAGTAAAAAAAAAAAAAAAAAAAAACTTGCACTATAAAGAGTAGAATCAGGTTTGGTTCTTTTCCTTCTTGATATTTAAGACTTCGGTGAGTCTGGCTGCTGGAAACGGTTTAGCTTCTCTGGATTATTTGATGCCATTTGAGAAAAGTCACGAAAAATGTCCTGATAAATTTCATCTCCTAGGTAGAAAGAAAAAGGGAAACGTTTGTGATAGGTAACATCACACACCATTGCACAAATGCCCTAATGTACTACCAATTACTTAATAACATTTGTATTCAAATATACAGATTGCTTATAGATGGAATGACGCTGATGTGAACTCTGAGACTGTTTAATTGCATGCACGTTCTGTAGAAGCAAATTAAACAAAGCCAAACTATACCTGACATAGTACCTCAAAGGCAGCCACACAGAGGAAAGTTCAAAGTTAGAAAGGAAAATGCAAGCATTTTACAGCAATGTAAAAGAAAAATGTTTATCAGCTATTAAAATACTTGTTTTTAAAGGGAAGTGCTGACCAGGCTTCTATTCATGAAAGTAGAATTAGACATAGACAAAGATTTACTTGGGGCACAGAGCAGAACTCTTGCAATGCAACCCTCCATGAAAGCAACATTTAGCAAACAATAGAAGGAGTCCTCTGTAACTAGGGAAATTAAGTGTTCACAAATGCTTTTTGTCTACTACTTCAGCAAGCAAAAATTATTTTTGCACACATTTCTGGACATACATTGCATCTTCTAGGTTTCTCTAGGATACAGTGACAATCTTTTCCTTAAACATTTTCACATTTTCTGTCTTCACCCTTCACTTTGTATTTAAACACAGTCTGACCACTAGTACGGATATATCCCAAAATGAGGGAAGGCAACACATTCCCCAGGACACATTCCCTCCCTCTGACCTTTCTACACAGGAAAACACATTCACAAATGATTAGTTTTTGAATCGTTGTCAAGTCATTCTTCTACCATTCTGAAACGGACACTAGCATCTGATTCAACTCCGCTGCGCTTCTTTTTTTTTTTTTTAAAATTGCTGCAGCATTTTGAGCCTTGAGTTCCGGTTTCATTTTAAAACATTAACTACACCATACTGTCTTCAAGGGGAATTAAATGTATAATATATATTTTGTACAATTAGGAAATATGCAGCTGTCCAAATTTGATTGTCTCATTCCCAACAAGAATAAAGTTGCATAGGACACAGGACGTCAGCACTCCTGTTCCTTGCGGACAGCTTGAGTAATACCACGACAAAAAAAAACAAAAATCTCTCCCATCACGTATGTCGAGCATGATAAAGGTTTCTTCCAAGAGGATGGTAGGAGAACCAAAAGTAATATTCCACTGCTTATTTCCAGAGAAGAGTTTTTAAAAGACTTTATAAAATAATTTTAAAACTATACTACAGTGGAAAATTGTTGTTTTGTTTTTCCAAAAGGCTATTTCGTTTTTCCACCTTTTTACTATGCGTTTCCAATACCAGAACCATTATCTTTTTCAAGTATTTGAGATAAGACTGCATTCATCTGAAAACACTTTCAGAAATGATAACTGACCTTCCAAAAGTATTTAACATAGCATCATGGTTTATATAAAAACGTAACAACGTAGAATTCCTCCTCTTTATTTAAAAGATAAATAAATTCAATACTACACTACTCGGAACTTTGTTCTACTGAAATTCCCTTTCGGTTCTCAGGTTCAGTTTCAAGTATGTTCTAGAGATGCAACAGGCACACACACCACATTTCATCATTACAGCTGCTGCTAATTGCTTGCACTGGGAGATGAGCACAGAATGAGAAGTTGTGAACATTCATCAAAGTAGCTAAGTAAAGCTCAAACCAGAATCAAACCTGTATAATGCAAGCAATTACACTTTTAATACAGAAATGGGTTCCATTGGTGACCTAGTACTGTAGTTCAAGTTGCCATATTTGGCTCTTTCAAAAAGAACTTGATAGGGGGAAAAGCTATTTTTACAAGGTATATTTGTGGCTCTATTTTTGGCTATATAGATGATAACAAAAATATTACATACAAAAATATTAAATAAAGTGCCCCTTGCCTGTAATGCTGCATTAAAATATTTCATACTGTAAACCTTATTTTAAAATCTAATTTAAAGTTTAATGCTGGAAATTTGCTTTCCAAGCAAGGTTTTCCCTAAAGTGCAGTTTTTTACATACAAAAATACTATAGCACTGCTTTACCATTTAACAGCAGACTAACTTAAAAGGCACACGTTATACATTCAAGAAAAGATAGGAAGAAAGACTAGCAATAGTAAGATCAAATAGTTAGCAGACAGACCATAGCACCAGAAGATGAGCACTCAAGTTTTGCACAAGAAACAGTACCATGGTGCATATGGCTTCTACCACCAGAAATGCACGTTTTGTGGAACAAGCTAGTTTCAGCCCGTTCACATTTTTCTGAGAATATGTTGGAAGACACACTGTAGCTTGCAAAGCAACATATACGTTCCCTCAATAGCTCAAACCAACGGAGAATCTTTAAATCAGAAATGTTAATGCCATTAGCTACACGAGTAATTGTTCATCAACAGCATGCTAAAGTAGAGAGGTATGCAGGTCCCTTTACTCCAATGACAGCAAACTTGCATCAATATTTACTCTCATATAACTCCCACCTAACATATAATTGTCTTCAAAAAAAAAAAACCAATCTTTATTTTCTTCTAAAAGTGTAATTTTGGAAAAGAGGAGTGATAAAATAAGGATGGTGCAGATATTTTGACAGGTATCTGCAGTAAAAAGGACCTGCCTCCTCTATAACCACCTAAAGACATTATATGCCATGACAGCAAGGAGGTTTTGTGCTTACACTTGCAAGTTTAAACGATCATTCTAGCAGCCCCGCAGACATGAACACGCTTAAACTTTCAAAGAAATTTCAAGTGAGGAGAGAAAGATCTCTTGGCTGGAACACTGTGCTACAGCTTGTGGTCAGAGTTTTAATAATTATTATTCTAACGATACCCTCTCTTTGATTTGGGGAAGCGCTATCCTTTGTGGAGGCTCTGCTCCCTGTTGACAGTCTTGCCCACTTACAGGGATTCCAGAGATTCCCTCAGAATAGGTCTGCACAACATCCAGAACAATCAGATCCTCGTGCCAACAACTGTCCCTTGATTCTGAAGTAATAAAAACTAATAATAGTAGTAATAACTAAAAAAAGATATTTTAAAATTAAAGCCTTAACTAGCTTTTTGTCTCATCTGACTGAAGAATCTGTCTAAAACTTTTAGAGAAGACATCAGGGGAAATATTCTTTCCCCGCATCCCAGCAACTCCAGTTTAAACAGACATTCGTGTTTTCATGTACGTAAGTAGAGCCTATACCATTATGAATGAAAACGAAGGTAAGCTTTCTAATGTTCAGTAACAAATCTAGGCTTTTTGTACATACTTTACAAACAATTTCTAGTTTCTAATACTTGTATATTTGTGACATGTCAGTTAAATGATCCAAGATACTCATTTATAATTTCAGCACAGAGCTGGTGAATTAAAATGCCTCCTTCCCTCAAAACAAATGTATTTTACTACTTGAAACTGATAGTTATTATCTCTTTAAAATGAAAGTGAAGAGAAGCAAATAACATTTTGATATTTGTAACCTTTAGCGTGTCAGGGAAGAAGAATGCATTATAATCAGAGAACAGCCTTACATTCAAACTGGTCATTCAAGTAGGCAATAGACTAAGATCTGCGGTGTGCAACATTTTCGGAGCAGGGAATTCTTCGTCATTTAAGCTCATAACCCAGTGTTTACTTGTAAATTATCAGTTGCTTCTCCAGAGAAATTACTCAAATGTCTGAGTGTCTCCAATACTTTTGATTTAAACTTCCTAGGAGTTTTGTTTAAAGATAAATTTGAAAGTCTCTCCTTGAGGAGAATCTTTATAACATACATAAATTAGGTTTATCTTACAGAGTTCATCTGGCATATTGGTATGAGACTCAGCCTTGCAGCTTGTGGATATCCCAGTCTCAATATGATGAGATATGTAAACGCAGTCTTTATGCATCGATGGCAAACACAAAAAGGCTTCACAGGAGTGAAGCGCAAGAGTACTCAGCACCATGAAAGATCAAGCCTTGAAAATGGAAGGTTTTTACTTTCACTACTGCCAGTTATTAGGTGCTTTTTAGCTGACACTAACTTAACAATCGATTGTCTTCATTATTGGTATTTGCATGAGTTTAAATTGGTCCTATGGAAGTATATCATAATAGAAGAAATGGCTCGCATAAATACCACATCAGAACATAATGTAAATTGGAACTGAGTGCCCAAGAATAAGTTGTATGCATTCATTAAGCGTAATTAGTTACTTTCTCGTAACAGTTGGGTCAACAGTTGGGTCAAGCGTTTGTCAACTTTTTTTTAAACCCAATGCTAAAATATTTTATGTACAAAAATATGTACTCAAGTACTTTGTTTAATGCTATTTGTATCACAAATATTTAAAAATAAATTTTGAAGAAATAATCCATTTCTGTTTCCTCCTGGAGTTATTTTTAAGTGATTGATGCACATTTTTACATCAGTGTGCAAGTTTGGGGTTTGTTTTTGTTTGATTAAAAGAAAAAGTCCACAGGAAAAAGAATGATATCCTGCAATAAACTTCTTGACTGTTGCTGAGCAACCCAGGTTAAAAGGCTGCTATCAAATAACATTAGGTAAATCCTATCACTGCATGAATTTCAGTGGAATGTCAATAGAAGAAAACTGTAAACAGCTAACAGCAAAAGAGATCAGTAATGAGTGTACTAACATACACAAATACAATTATATACTTTAAACACCCTCCTTTTAGGCACCCTAAGCAATCTGAGACAGTACAACAGTGAATTTCAATGATGCTTTAACATGTATATGTTGTTTATAAAAAACATTTTGTATGAAGCTACTTTAAATTTTGCTCAAAAACTAAGAATCTAATTGTAAACTGATAAATTCCTGAATACATTTCTTATACTGCATCTCAGTATGGTTATTAGTAGAGTATTGACCTGGCTGTCCATACAGTCCTTCCGATTCGCGCATTTCTTCATTCATCCTTGCTAAACGCAACCTGTGATTTAAAAAAAAAAACAAAAGAATGTCATCTTTAAAGCACTGAAAAAGACTGCAATCCAAGAACTACAGTTTGTTTCTGAACCTCATCAGTGAGGTCATCTACTGAAACTGTGCCCTCTCTTGGATTTTTTTCTTTTTATTCTCCCTGTTTCTATTACAGAATTGTGACATGTCTTACATGTTACACTTGAAAGGAGAATAGGAAAACCTATTACCTAGTTAAAAACAGAACAAGTGACTTACAATGTTACAATATCTGCATTTGCAGCTTCTACAGCTATACTCAAAGGATCTTTCCCATCTTCATCAGTTGCATGCTGGTTTGCTCCTCGTTTTAGGAATAAACACACTTGTCTGTTTAGAAAAAGCATTTAAGAATAATTTCCACAACAACAAAAGAAAAAAGCAAGTGAACAAACAGGCTGGATCCAATATGTTTGGCTTAACCCACTAAAAGTCTCTTGAACATGTTAGAGCAGCACTATTTGCCTAAAATGATTCTAGGACGTTTGTTTTTTTTATACTGTGTTAACAAGAAAACGCTTTAGTTATTTAATCCACGTTAGAAGAATAGTTAAGTTGTCAAATCATGCCGAGGCAGCAAGGAGCTGAACCACTGAACAGTGACTCTCTACTTTTGCGTCATCTGAGGCTGTAGAACCAGAAGACCTCATCCATTTTACCATTATGGAAGTGAACCACTGAGCAGGATAAATCAAATACAGTAAAGAATGCTGAGACACTGATGCCTGTTACACCTAATGGAGACTGATTCCATGTTTTTCTACACTACTGTCTGTCTTCATCTACATCAAGAGGGCATACTAACAGACCTTACCTCTTCACAACTCTCAAGCTGTCAACTAGCACTCTATTCAGAATTCATGCATGCAAAGAGCCTTGGGACCATAAATCACGTTGTTATGTTCTCATTGGTATCAAGTTGGCACACAAGAGTTTTAGTTAGAACTCATGATTCCAACACTCAAGGTGTGATACCGTGCAATTTGAAGAGAGATGCACTATCTGGGCAAGACACAGGAGGGGTAAACCAGAAATAGCCCTGGCTCTCACTCACCACACATTTCTTCTACCTGTTTCTCATTTTCTAAGAACTGAAACACATCACAGATCTTCACTAGAAGTTAACGATATTTCAACGATATTTTTTTTTTTTTTTTTTTACAAAATAGACCTATTTGTTTATAGGAGTGTTCTGCTAGATTAGATAAGGCTGCTGACTTAAAATGCTATTTCCTTGTTCATCACAAAAGGTTGAGAAAAATCTAGAGTACCTGAAATATATTAAAATGCTAGAGTATCTGAGGATTTGAAGCTTCTAACTGACAGAGCAAAAGGATGGCCATTTACAAATTCTGGAACAGTGAATTACCCAGTATGTCCTAGAACCGTGGCATGGTGCAGAGGTCCCCTTCCTTTCACATCCCTGTTGTTCACATTGGCACCATTCTGCAGTAAGAACTCACAAGTAACCAATGAGCCCTACAGAACAAAAACAGAGAAACAACTCAGTGCCAAACCTCTAGAATCAGAGCAGGGTTTGGTTCTACCTTCTCACCACTGAGCCATGTGGTGAGGGAAACGAGGGATTTGCCTCCACACCAAATTTAAACAGTACTAGGTTACATAACCCCAAACAAGACATTAACAAGAAAAAAATAGTTCAGAAAATTTTGAGAACTTCGTAAAGACAACTTCACTATCCCGTTAACGTTCACTAGAGAGGCAAGTTCAAAAGGAACACCGATACAGAAATAGCCCTATTATTCCCCTTCCCCTCTCCCCACATTAGTCAGGATGCTGTAGATCACATACCCCCCGTACAGCCTGAATGAGCGGTGTTGCTTTGTTTTCTTCTATATTGACCCAGTTTACTTCAGCTCCATGGGCCAAGGCTTCTGCCATATCGGGAAGATTCTTCTCAAAGGCAGCTCGATAAAGCTGCAATCCTGGATTAGGCTGTTTGGAGTCACAAAGCACAGAAGACTCTGGCTTGTCTCCCTCTGAAAGAAAAAAGTTTATCTGAGTCTTACTTTTTTTTATTTAAAAAAAGAAAAAAAAAAGCATGCTCCTAAAATTCTGACCGAAATTATCGTGTCTCTGGTGTAAGGCAGCTCAGACTTTGCAGAACTCAATGTTCTGCGTTGCTGCCCCAGTCTGCCAATAGAAGTCACAGATGCCTTTAGCTGCCTTCCAGCAGTCAGGCACAGACACTTCACAGAATTACTACTGCCCAGTAAGATCATTGTCTTCATGTTACTCGTGCTCGTGAATATCCTTCAACCAAACTGTAACCATTTCTCAGAAATGACATAGGTAAGCAGTATGTTTTATCCTATACTACAAGCTATGAAGAAAACTCATTACCTGCCAAGATAGTCATACAAACATATCTTTATCTGTAACAGCTTCAAGCACCTAAATATAATGAAGCTAATACTGTTCTGACATGCCATTTTCTTTGAAAGATACTATTGGCATGTACTAATTGCTTTAGTCCAAAGGATTATATTCCTAGGAAGCATGATCTTTCTTTTCAGTTCAACAGGGGAGTTATATAGACTGCAGTCTGGGAGGTAAAGACTTTTTCATGTAAGCTTTCCTGAATTACAGCATCCTAAAAAATGCTTCTACAATGCCCTCAAAGGATCCAGGCCACATGGTTGCCTGGTAGTTCACAACTGTGAACTACCGGATTTAAGATGTACCTTGGAAAAGTGCTTACAAAAGAACATGTTTACTTTACAAATAAGCGTTTTGGACATTCTGATAGCAGTGAACAAGCCATGCTCAATACATCCATTAGCCTAGGATGTTAATACAAGATATCAAATAATTCCATACACTTTTAGGAATCTGGGTGAAGATGAGTAATTTTGGAAGATGTAGTGAATTCCATATATAGGCAGAAATCAGGAAAAAAAATTAAGTTAAGATCAAGTAGCACAAAGCCTATTATCTGCAACTTAGCAGGAACCCCATCTCCAAGGATTCAAGTGTTCATAAAGGAGTACGTATTTCTATGGAGACTTGTCTATGTCAAAATGCAGCTTTGCTCTATGTGCTAAAAAACAAGACTACAGCTCAGTACCATCTGACAGGAAAAAAAAAAAAAACAACACATTCTTGGAAGTTTAGTCCAATCTTTTATTCAATGTCATTCTTTCTACCAAGTTTGAAAGAGAGAAATTTCACTCAAGCAACTATCACCCTTGTTAAAAATGTTGTTTCAGCTAGCCAGGATAGATGAGACGTGAGTCATATCACCACGCTGTAAAATCTATTTGCTAGTGAAAAGAAGCAACTAAACCTTCACCTTAAGTGCAAAGCCTAACTCACCTGGTTCATACAAACTGTTAGCTGATATAGTAGAGGCAAGGTGTTCTCTGCTGTCATCGGCACTCTGCTGGATCCCACTGTCACTGCTTCTTACTGTTTTGGGGAGAAAGGGTAATTACTATGCAGACTAAGTTACCTGCTCTTCACAGATACCATGATAATAAAGCAAGCTCTTATACTTGGTCCTGAATTCATTGTCATTTATTTTTCAATTACTCAATATTCTTAACGTATTCATAGAAGATCTGAAGCCACACATTCAACCGTAACATTCATAACAAATGTCACAAAGATTATTAAAAAGGTAAGCGATCAGGATAAGTAAAAAAGCTTAAGTTATTTCATGAAAACACTAAGCAATGCAGTAGCCTGGAGACAATGGATTAAAGGCAGGGAGATGGCCACAACACACAATGGATAACCAGTGCAAACACAGAACACGCCATAGCTGTAGTACTTACTACTACGTAGTTTTGAAGAGGTATCAAAGTAGGAGAAGAGTGAATCTAGTTCATCAGGACAGAACAGAGACTCCCGCCTCGCCTCGTCGCTACTTACAGCAACCGCTGGGACATGCAAGTTAGCAAAGCACAAAGCAGGCAGTAAGGAAGGGATAGGGCAGGAAAGAACGTTATTGGAAAAATTAAGAAGGATGAAAATACAGAGGAAAGAAGGTGGTTAATATGTTTCCGAATGATAAGCATCCCTACTCCACAAACTCTTCCTACCTAAAATAATGCACATCTCTGAACAAGCCAAAAGATGCCATTTTACCCCCTATACTTCTGAACTAGGCTACGACCCGTTAAGAGAGGGGTTCTAATTTATCTGCATGAGGCAGCAAATCAGTAAATACAGAAAGTCACTTTAAAGAGAACATGCTTAATGCATCTAACAAGAGAAGCGTGTAAATACCTTTTTGGGACACGGCACCTTGTTCACCTGCCAAGAGGGATTTTTCAGGGCCACTGTGCCTTTTCTCCTCCTGACTCTGAGGCAAAATTTTTGTTCCAGATTCAAGCTGAGGTACTGCTGCAAGCTGCTTCTCTACAAATTTTCTTTCCACATATTTTGCTCTGATGTATGCCTCTCTCTCCTGCCTGTCATACACAAAATCCCTGGAGTTAGTAAGCTAGTGTTTCATTATATTCACAGCCGTTTCATGCTAAAGCCAGTAACCAAAACCCTGCAGTTTAGCATTGCACAGAAGATATTCTTATAGCAGATTTTCAGGGGGGAAAAAAAAAAAAAAAGTACATTGTCTGACTCCCTAGATTCTTGACAGAGTTTTGCATAAGCTTCAAAAGAAAATTGTTTTGTTATGTTTATATACAGTATACTCCCTTTCCAGCGGGGAACTTCTGAAAGTAATGTGAAAGAAATAAGCATTAGTTCTTGTACGTTATTTCTTGGTACTAATCTTTTATACATTGCTTCCACATCATTAACAGCCAACAATCAACTAATATAGAACATATTTAGATTCTTAGGCAAATTGCAACATTTGGTAAGGGAATATGACGACCGGATAAGAGAGCAATAATCAAAGCCCTAGGTAGGCACAGCCACCAGCAGCATAATATATACTCTTCTCATAACCTGAGAGCATCATCGTAAGACACATACACAACAGCTGTGATAAACTAATGAAAGAGGCTGTAATAATACTACTACTGAAATTGCTGAAAAGTAGTTTCCTTTGGCAGGAACATCTAGTAAGCCTCCCGCTTCTATCCGCCAAGTAACAGGCTGCTGTAAAAGAGCAGAGCTCTCGTATAACGCAGGATGACAAAGGGGAGAAAAGAGCGCTCTGGGGATCAGGGAACAAGAGTTGAGCTCAAGAACAAATCATTGCAAACAAAAGTCAACACAGGCACAGGCTCCTCCCAGGAGCACCTCCCAGACCAGGCAGAGCTGGTTGAGAAGGTACAAAGCAGATGGGAAAACAGAAACCACCATGTCCACACTGATGAGACAGAGCAGGATGCTTCAGAAAGGAGCATCTTTTCATCGAAAGGAGGGAGTGAGATCTGAAAAAGAATGACTGAATGAGAGAAGCAGGAAAAGCCCTAAGGAAGGAACAGAGGCAATATGAACCCAGTAAAGGTTAACAAGAAAAAACAGAGAAACTGGTGATGAGGAGCACAGAAGAGTAAATCAGAGGAGCATTAAAAATAGTAAAGTAGCAGCACCTTATAAAGCTGGGGGCTGAAGTAGGCGACAAGGAAAAAGTAGTAAGAATTACTGCTAGACTACTATCAGAATTGAAATCACTCAGATTAAGAGTCATGGTCTGAGACTGCTACAATCACAATCCAAGGATATGGTAGATTGTGGACCCTGGTACATGTCAAGAGGGAACCTGGAAAGTAAAAGAGAAGTTAATGCGGAATGCACTGGTAGTGCCATGTTCTTGGCGTGAGATGATAATGCCCAAGGAGGGAATTCATGCAGGCTTTGCTCAAGGGACCAGATGCACTTCAGTAGGAGAAAAGGGGAAAAGAGAAAAGAGATAATGGCAGCACTGCTAGAAACCAAGTGAAATTTCACAGTCAGAAAGAAGGAGGAAAAAAAAAAAGACCGGACACTGGAAAACAGCAGCAAGTGAAAAAGGCTTGCAAGAGATGCAACTAAGCCAAAGGAAAACAGTTACAAACAATGATACCACCAGCTGGAGAGATGAAGCTAGAGTAAAAAAATTAGATATATGTGGACACGTCAAGATAAAGCAAAAGTGGACTAGAAAAGTACATGAGAAGAAAGGCGTATTTTAGAGAAGCAGAGAGGGGAAGGATAAAACTGGAATGGAAAGAGGCGGAGTTAGATCACAGGAACTGCCGTAAGAGCAGCGTGCTGGCTTATATGAGCAAAGAACCTTTAACCACCAGAGGAATGCACTGGTCCAGGAGATAATCATGCAGTATGTGACAGCCATGAGGTGTACAACCCAGGGGGGCAGTGGTACAGAACAAGAGAAGGATCAGTTATTACAAAGGGATGCATTCAGTTGTTTTTGTATTAAATGATGATGCAAATTGCTTAAATTGATATCATTAAGTTAATGAAAATATGAACAAATGAAATCAAAGTAAATTCTACCTTTGGCTTCCAGGTTGCGGCTTCTTTACTCCCACTTTTTCCAGCTTCGCTTCATATATTCTATTTATAACATCATTTCCTAATTCACACATAAGCTATGAAGCAAAATGAATAAATATGTTCAAACACAACTATAAACAGTTGTTGGTTTATACCTCACTATTTCTACACCTGAGTATTTTTTACCGGTAAAAGTTCATTGACAAAGTTAAGCGTGGGTTTATTTCATGATAATGAAACAAGCAGTGAATTAAGAGACCAAATTCTGAATAAGATAAGAAAACATAAAGTCACAGTTTGAAAACAGCGTTATTCCCTCTGAAAAGGGATTGCGAATATGACCACCTGTCACTCAAGACTTTTTGGTGTAATCAGAACGACACGTGCAGACCTCACTAACAGACATACACTTTTCCACTTGGCTTTGCTAACAGCTGTTCCTACCCCATCTAGCAAGAGACAATTCACTGACTTCCATCCCCATCCTGTCAAACAGATTCGTTTGCTAAACCATGACCTGGTCTATAGAAAATGATCAGAAGCAAACACAGTCTGTACATACTACTTTAAGGAGAATTCAGCCCAAGAAGTCCAATTTGCCGCTGGCAACGAGCGGAGTTCCCGCTTCTAACATCCAGGTACAATGTTCAGCTCTTGTATTTGCGCGAGCTAGACAGGGCAGGTTTTTATTTGCGACATGGGCACACTGATATAAAAATAACCTAAGCTCAAAACTACAGAAAATGAATACCCCTACTTGCATCATCTTTTTATTGTTCAAATGTGCACAAATGCACACATGCACGAGTTCCTATTTCTGTATTTCACAATATCACATGATTTTCAGAACCGTGTTTCCAATTAGCATTTTTGCACACAAATGGCACATAACAGTAAATGCAAAACAAGCTCTAAAAGCCAATAAGCCTACAAAATCAAGATCCCACTATAAGACTTTGCATTCAAATTTTCAAGTTTGAGCATTTTCTACTTTGACATAGGGCTTTCAAGCTTTTTCAGCCCACTACATTATTGGTCTGTAAACAGATTTCCATTTTTAGATATCAAAAACATCAGATGAAACTACTACTGCTACTTCAGAAACTACAACATGGTTGTATAAGGTTATCAATTAAAACAAAAAGCAACAAAAAAACCCAAAAAAATCCACCCACACCCCAAACACCAGATTATAAACGTTTTCTGCTCACAAGTGCTAAACATACACTAGGTACGAATACAAGTTTTCCTGCATTGAGGTTTCCCTAGCTGTAGACCAAAAATATAAACACCAAACAGAAATTCCTGTTTCAGAAGTATTATTTTACCTTCAGAAGTTCTGGTTCCCATGAATCCAGTGTTAAAGATCTTACTTTTGAAAAGTGGACTCCTAGGCTCCTAAACAAAATTAAAAGAAATATTAGTTCATAACTGCATGCTGTGTCGTACTTCAGACAGCTTCACTATTAGTTTATGCAGACAGAGTAGTTACCTTAATTCTGCTTACAGATAGGGGTCTCTAACCTTGCATCTGTGTACATTTAAAGAGGCAAACAATACACTTCCTAATTAAGGCAACGCATAAAACGAACACGTCTGAAGAGTCCACCAACCTGTGTATACCAGAGCACTCGATGCACAGCGTGATTCCTAGGTTGATACTGGCCCAGCGAGGATCTGCCAAACCGCAATCACAGCACGCAGCATTACCAGGAATACACTGAACTCGTTGTAGAGCGCTTTCTCCCTTTAACAATTTCTCTTTTGTCTCACTGCCAGACTCCAGGCTTCCAGTAGAAGGGGATGATTTCTTTTCCTGTTTCTAAAAACAAAACAAAAAATATAGCGAGAGAAAGACAGAGACAGAGAGAGACAGAGAGAGACAGAGACTAAATTAAAGAAGTAAAGATCCAACAGATACTGACAGTGCACTAGAACCCTAGAAAAAAACTTTTGCATTTAAAGCCTAGGAAAGCCATAACACTGAAAGTCTTTAGCTTCTTATTAGATTTGAACATAAGAGCATCCACTGATCTTACAAATTTTAATTGCACTACAGAAAAATCACATCTAATCATATAGGCCAAAAGCAACATTATTAGTAAGATGAAGCGGTGGGGGGGAGGGGGAGGGGATAAAAATCATAGCCTTTAAAATTTCATTGCATTTCCAACAGAAGACATATAGTGGATTCTTTTTTTCACCCCAGCTCATAAAGAGAGTTTTCTCTATTTTTTTTCTTTTCAGGATCTATTGTTTTATAAGTTTGTTTTAAACTTACCTCAGATTCATCCCCTTTCTCTCTATATGCTGTAGCAATACTGGTCTGAACAGCCTTAATCCATGCCTGCCGCAGCTTTTCTGAGTCAGCCTGGAGCATGCAGCTTCTATGACAAATCATACCTGTACTCAGATTCAGAGACCAACCAACTAGCTCACATCAAAGAATACATCGCTCACTGAAATTCAGACTCTTGACAAAGTCTCTAGCTATCAACTTCATTGTATTATCTGGTGTTATATAATAGTTAAAGCCATTTATTTTGGGAGAACAATGCAGCTGACCCTTTATAAACAACAAATTCCTCGTTTCAAAACTATTTACAGCAAACGGAAAAATATATAGATAGCATGATGAGTAACCTAGAGTATGGTTTAACTATTTATCATCCTGAATTTTTCGTTTTTATACCTTCACCTGCAATTTACCTCCACGACTATCTACAGAAGATGTAGATATCAGTCCTCAAAAATGCAGTCCATTCACCGAATTCAAAAGAACTACCTTGCACACCAACAGCGAAAGGAAGTCATCAAGTCTAAAACTGTTCCAACACTTACGGGCTGCCAAAGTATAGGCAGGCAGGAACAAAACGCACGTTAAAGTGAACCACACGTGAAGATGCAAACTTTAGGATAGCTATCTATTAAGAGAAAGATAAATAAGTAAGAGCAGGGTGACACCCTAACCTAGAAGCAGGCTGACCTTACATCAAAAAGTTAAATATGGCTGGTGTCCTAAATCATTAACGTGAACTCAACGTCCTGCCCTTGCTCTGGCAGGGCTGCCATGTTTCTCCAAATACAATCAACAGACTGCTGACAGAGCTGAAACAAATATTTTTATTTAGTAGTTTCGTTTAGCATGTTCTGAAGCGTAATTTAACGTCACTGAAACCATGCCTTGTTCTGTTTGTATCTCATTGTGCCAACTACAAATTATGTGGAGTAACTGAGAGCCAGTTTCTGTATTACTGAGCAGCTTGACAGTGTCAGCTACTACTAAGCCGTAACACCTCAACAACCACCAACTATTTATACATAAAGCACAAGAATGTATGTTTATTTTAATGTCAAAAGTAAACTAAATACGCGGAACACTTCTCACAGCATCACTTACTCTTGATCCAAAGTTTCAGAGAACAAAATTGTTCACATATTTTCCTGTTTCGATCTATCCCAAGAGACACATTCATCTTGTATTTCAAGACAATTGAATTTTTTTTTTTTTGTAAATAAGCACAAGCTCCCTCATTTCTCCTTACTTTGTTGGTGAAACCACCTCGAAACAGAAACGTCTTTCTATGTCTTCACAGTGTTTAACTGTGCAAAGTCGCAAATCTTCAACGACTACCGTGGGATTATCCTGAAAAGGGAAAAAAAAAAAAAGACAAAGTGAATAAAACAAGTCACATATAGAAGAAAAAAGAAAATGAAGTTGCTCATAGGCTCAAATTATTTCTCGGTTAATTTTGTTAACTTGTTTAAAACAAGTTTTTCTACAGAAATAAGTAAACGGGTAAGATGAAATTTCAAGTAAATGGTGTCAGATATATTTAGCAAGAAATATTTAGTTATGTTTCATTGTTTAGTTATATTTTATTAAAAAACAGCCTTTGGAGAATGCCTTTTTACCTACAATCAAATTGATTAAATAATCAACAGTATTCAAAGGAATTCCAAGATACTTTCTGAAAAGAGATGCTGTTAACTTACAAATCAATCAGAAAGAGACCACAGCCAACTCGGCAGCATTATAAGCACCACACAGAAAAAACAGAAGCTGGGATGCGTGGGTTTTGAAAGTGCAATGCAAAACACTTATTATGGGCTAACAGCACTTTTAGAAGAATAGTATTTCTGAATACATCTTCTGTCACATAACATTAAGAAAAAAATGCAACTGGAATTCACAAACACATAACCTGCCTGATTCAAGTGTGCTAAAACTTAACCGTTTCCTGTCCTTTACAGCCAGAAAGGCCATATCCAGTGATCTGTCAGAAAACGATTAATAGACTCTGGACCTGGCAGGTTAATATTGAAAGGAAAGGAACTGTCAGAAAGTTGTCCCTTTCAGCCTTCTGCATACAGTTTTATACCATTTTTTCCAACACTACAAACGGTTGGTTATTCAGTGCAAAAGCTGCTTCTAGAACAGCAAAATAAGGGAACTCCTGGCCCAGGGCTGGTTACAAGGGCTGGCTGCTACGGCCTGGGGTACGGCGGCATTTGCCGCTGTAACATACGGCGGCTGGGATCATAAGAACTGTACTTTTCCACTGGCAAAGACACGGACATCTACCGCTGAATTGCCACCTGTTTGCAGTATCAGATACAGGTATGTAGCTTCCATAACTGTTTCACAATAAAGATTTTTGTGCATTCAATTCCTGGGGGTGGGGGGTGGGGTGTTTAATTTGGTGCGGGAATCTGGTAATCGGCAAGAGCTAGTCTTTAAGGAGTTAAACACAACTATTTGAAAACCAGCACAGAATATTTAGTCTGCCAGCGAGCGTGTACAAGCCTTTCGGGACCAGCAGCTTATAATAACTCTTCATGCTTCTTCTCTGCCAGAAGGTTAAAAAAAAA